AACTTCAAATATTAACGCCACCTATTCCTGGTTACTAGATTGGATGTAAATGCTAAGTTTGCAGCTTATTCGTTGTTGTTTTTTCTGTTCCAGATTTTCACATTACCACTCACAAGGTACCTTCGGAGTAGATCCGAATTTACGAAAAGCTGAACTTCATGGGTTACATATACGATGGTTTTATTGTCAGTCTGCTGCTTGAACCCTGTTTTTACATTTTTGTTTCAAGCCTTACTGCTTCGTGAATACACCGGTAGCATTTTTATTAGCGATACAACAGCGCTTGTTAATTAATATATCAGAGTGTACGTTAACGTACATCCTGATATTATACATTCCTAGCTCCCAAGTTTGGGGAAATCCGGGATTTCCCCAAAGTTGGGAGCCTGGGCCCTCACGTAATATTACATCCCTAAAGTCAAGGGAAATTTCGGGGAAGAACGCAAAATTGTGAAAATTTCGAGGTTTTATTAACAAATATAAGCCGACTTCCCCAAAGTGTAATAAGATTCTGGGGAAATATAGGGGTTTTTGTGACATTTCCCCAAAGCTTACTATGGCGGCTTTCCCCAGAATGGGTCATATTTTCCTCAAAATTGGGAGATTGGGACTGGATTAGTACTGGACTTCGGAACCTGTAGGCGTAGCCGCAGAGCCCGAGGGACAACTGCTTGAGAACAATTAGACAAAACTATGTAAATAGGTGTGGGCTACCTGACTGTGGTCCGCACGATTATCGTAACCAGTGATTAAAGGCGTTAAGTGACGCTACTCAGGCTCGTTTGCAATAGCATGGGCGCGTCTACTCTTCATGTCATTTAGAACCTAAGTCCCAAAATCTCAAGTTTTCATGTACGCAGTTTTTCTGCTTCTGATACTGTAGCTACCTTGGCGGCCTAATGGAGTGTGGCAGGTTCCATGTCATGCATGACCATCTGCTTCTCAGTATGCCTTTTGTAAAAGCCTGTATTCTATCCCTGTTAGGTTTTATGAGATGTGTCGTTAACATACTAAATTTTCAAGGATCATCGTTGATTTGTTTGCAAAAAAGATGTCCTAGAGATTTTTGTTTACCTGGGTCATACAATTGTTGTTTTTTGCAATGAAGTAATATTTTCAGTTAATTTGTTGCCCATCAGAATTATTCATCTTTTTGCTTTATGCTTCGGTGAATTCGGCTTAAATGATAATGACTACTATACCAGGATTAAAGTCACGATTCTATTCTTTCAAAGTTGGACACTTTCAAGCGTAAGAGAAAAGCTCGCCTGGAAGTTGAAGAATTCAATATAGAAAGTCGTCAAGCTATCGAAATGGCAGTTAGTGATTTAACAACGGACGACCCCAAGCAATATCAATTGGAAGAAGGACAAGAGCGTTCTTTTATTGAGAAGTCGTCGCAAGTATGCTTATGGTCTTACTTAAATGATTCTAAAACTTTCATAGAATTCTGAAAGTGTTAAGAATTTAGTGGACAAATTATTGACGTGGATTGACAACGAACTATCAGAACATCGAATTCTCGTGAGAGATATTCAAGAAGACTTATATGACGGTCAACTTCTGCAAAAGTTAGTTGAAAAACTAGCGAAGATAAAGCTAGATCATCCTGAGTTAACGCTGTCTGAAATTGGACAGCTTCAACGCTTGCGTGTAACTTTAACAATACTAACTAACTAACTGATTTTTAGGGTGTATTACAAACTGTCAACGAAGTACTTCATGTATCAGAAAGTTGGGCCAGTCAACGATGGACTGCCGAACGTATTCATCAGAAAGACTTGGTTGCTATTCTGCGCCTACTAGTTGCTATTGCTTGTCAATTTAAACCAGAAATGCATTTTCAAGCAGGTATTTTTCTTACCGTCATAGTCGTTCGCAAATTAAATGGTAAATTGGAGTATCGTTACGAAAGTGAATACATCACTGAATTCACATAAACATTGCCCGGTTAGTTGTTTCATATTGTATTCATTAGTTATAGGTGGTATTTCACTTTGTCAACTGTTAGTATCTTTTCAAATGAATATACAATAATAATATGTTAGAGAATGTAATGATAATGATTTCATCTAATTGTCCAGAAATTCACATAGAAGCAACTGCCAACATGTGTTCGAGTTACAATGGATATTTTGGTGAATCTTCAAAATAAATCACTTTTACTTTATCGTGTTTCTAAAACGAACGATTTATTTAACGAATTTCCATTCCTCTTTATAAGCGAGATGTTAATGTGCAAGCTTTTGTCATAGATTATTCGAAAATTAAGGGCCGTGTTGTAAACGGAGTTTGAATATTGAAAAATTCATTGTATAGTTCGATTTGTGCTCTCAGTAATGGTTACATCACTTAACTTTTAACTGTTAGGCCACAGGTTCAGAGCCTACTCCGTTTCTATTCAGGTAGTTCAGTAACATTATTAGCCCTCACGCAAATAGTGTTACCTGATCCGGATATTTTTAACGTCTAGCACTGTCACACACACATGGGTTATTCTAGCTTCCGGACAGACCAGTTGATGTGTTCTGCTTGAGTCCAATTTTGCTCTTGTAAATTAATTGCTTATAGGGTTAGGGTTGTGTATGTGTATTACTTACCCTACTCATCGCATATCTTTGGTTTATTTTTGCTTGGTTATGAATATTGAGTCACATTTTTTTCAAATGGAGTTGGCTCACTCGCCTTCTCCGCCTTACCCCCCACTTTTCATTCTGAACGACTGTCTTCGACTAATATGTTTATTAATAAATTACTGTTTTACACTTCAAGCTGGCAGTCCTCTTGACGCCATATCAGAACATCATATGGTTTTGCAAGCAGTTCTTACTTTTATCAGTACACATTTGGAACAAGTCGGCCTTCATGGTAATGATCTCTAAAGATGTAAGTTTTTTGCGTAAACTACTGCTCAAATCTTTTCGTATTTTAATTCATTTCATTGAAATAGTATCAGTTTGGGTGACAATCGCAGAGGAGTCAGTTCAACTAATATAGTGTATAAATTATTAACCTCATTAATAGTTCAAAATTCAACTAGGGCTCGTGAAAAGCCAGTCTGAGAACACCGGGCTGGTTTCGGACATGAACGTAGATGTATAGACCAAATATCCACTCCTCAGGAGATTGTCGGACACAGACATACTTTCCGACGTCCTACTATAGTTGTATTCCTTGACCATAAGGCAGCGTTCGACTCTGTTGACCGTGAGGTTTTATGGTAGTGTCTGTCATTAAAAGATGTATCAATGAAGTACATTAATCTTGTACTGGTTCTTAAGTCGAACACTACTGGCCGAGTCATTGCTAATGGCGAACTGTCATCGGAACCAATTACTTCAAATAGTGTTCGGCCCCCGAATGCCCTGGTACGGCCGAGAGTGGGGAGAGTCCGCTCTCCCTCTCGAAATACTCTCACGCGGCCGCGCGTATACAGCCTCTGCCAGGGAAGTCCTACTCACTGCCTTTTCGTGGCGGGGGTGTTGTTTACGAAAGTGAGAGGACGAAAAGCGAATGTCCGGCGCTTTAACTGGATCACAAACCAATGGTGCACATGGGCTCCAGTATCCTGCGGGAACAAATGGCGTATGAACCAATCGTTGGTCACCGGCTACCATGGGACTGCATCTCCTCACGATGCTCCACTGCCTTGTGCGTTAGACCTTTAGGTCAAAGGCTCGGGATGTGGCCCCCTAAGAAAACCACCTGCTTCGGTTTGGGTACCCGGGCAGTATCGCAGCTCACACACAAATGATGAACTCTTTATGTCTATGGAAATTACTTTTCTCGCTTCGAAAAACAATCAATTGATTCAAATTATTATCATTACAATTATTGTCATTATTAATACTATTATTATTACTATTATTGTCATTATTATTATTATTTTCCACATTATTCACCCTCTTTTATACTTATACAGCGGCTCGTCTTTGGTGGAAATTCGACTGTATCTAAACGTTCTCGAGTCACTGTCCGGTTGAAAATTGTATGTTACCACCGAATACGAGAACTGAAGCAGTTTTTCTGAAACCACGTGCACCATTCAAACTGGCTGCCTTCAACGTTCGCACATTTATGCAGGTCGGACAACAGATAGGGCTGGCTATGTCTTTGGAAAGTCTTAATATTGATGTTTGTTGTCTATCCGAGACCCGTATTCAAGACTCTGGCGAAGTACTACAAATTCGATCTCCATCTGTCGCTTCGAAAAGCTTGTTTTACGTGCGCTTATCCGGGGACCCTGTGGCATCTTCGTCTGGTCTTGCTGGCGTTGGTGTCGCACTAAGCGCTAGAGCTGAGGCAGCACTAGTCGATTGGATCCCCATTAACAGTCGGTTATGTGCTGTTAGATTAGAAAGTTCCATCAAAGTGAGAAGAAATCGGCGTGAGAAACGATGTCTTTTCGTCATCTCCGCCTATGCCCCGACAGATTGCAGCCCGGATGCAATCAAGGATGAGTTTTACCACCAGTTATCTGTTCTTCTCCAGAAAGTGCGTTCGACAGATATTGTAGTACTAGCCGGAGACTTGAATGCTCAGGTCGGGCGTCTAGGCACAGAAGAGAGTCGTTTAGGTGGCCGATGGGGACTCGTTGGTCGCAGGTCAGATAACGGGGACCGTCTACTGCAACTTTGCACAGACCACAACCTGTTTCTGGCTAGCACTAACTTTCGGCACAGTCATCGCCGATGTGCCACCTGGCGTCCTCCCTCTGCATCTCAAGCCTGGACTCAGATTGATCACATCGCGATCAGCTACCGCTGGCGTGGTTGTGTAAAAGACTGCCGCTCCTTTTGGAGTACCTATCTGGACTCTGACCATGCCTTGGTCTGCGCCAATCTTGCCTTACTTTTCAGTGGACAACGAAGTGACCGCCATCAACGGATTGATGTTAGCAAGCTGGTTGCAACTTCTGTTGCAAGTAAGTATCGAACCGAGCTAGCCTCTAGGCTAGCTACCACTCCACCGAAAAGTATAGATGAGCATTGGTTGCAATTGCATGACGCCATGAAAATGGCGGGAACAGTCAGTTGTGGGTTTGCGAAACGTCCCGCTTTTAAGCACTGGGTTTCTTCTGGTTCCTTACAACTCATTGAAGCCCGTCGGTCTACTCCGGGTGACCGTGAGTTTGACCATAAACGAAGGATGTTACGTAAGGAAATTGGGCAAAGCTTGCGTAAGGACCGAGAAGCCTGGTGGTCGATGCGTGCTAATGAGCTGGAAGCAGCAGCTGCATCTGGTAACTACCGGAAGCTCTTCCAACTCATCCGAGCCACTGGCAGCAAGAAGTCTGGTGTGAGTGAAACAATCTGCGAGGATGATGGGATGCCAATCACTAACATCCATCGACGTCTTGGACGATGGGCAGAATTTTTCGAAGGGCAGTTCAACTGGCCTGCTGCTCCGGCAACATCGGTCAGACTGTCCTGCCCTCCATGGCCGGTGACGACTGATCCACCAAACGAGGAGGAAGTCCGCAAGGAACTCCAACTCTTGAAGCGTTACAAATCACCTGGCCCAGATGACTTACCTCCGGCTCTTTTTAAAGATGGTGGTGACTTTTTGACTAAGGAATTGACGACGTTGTTTACAAAGGTTTGGGAACTAGAGAGTGTACCAACGTCATGGAATGAGTCGATAGTTGTCCCTATCTTTAAAAAGGGTTCACGTCGTTCCTGTAACAACTATCGGGGGATAAGTTACTTCCGATTGCGTCCAAGCTATTGGCTTCCGTCATTCTTCGTAGGTTGTTCAAAACCCGAGAAAGATTGACTCGCGAGGAGCAGGCTGGGTTTCGTTCTGGTCGAGGATGTATTGATCATATCTTCACCCTCCGCCAAATGTTAGAACACCGCCATACTTTCAAAGGCCAACAATCGTAGTGTTTCTTGACATCAGGGCTGCCTTCGATTCGTTGGACAGGACTGTTCTCTGGGATTGTCTATTGAAGAAGGGTGTGCCTGAGAAGTTTATTAACATCCTAAAAGCCCTATAAAAAACACCTCAGGCAGAGTGAGGGCATACAACCACCTCTCTCCATTGTTCCATTCGAGCAGTGGGGTTAGGCAGGGTTGCCCAATCTCACCATTCCTCTTCAACTTTGCCATCGATGACATTCTGGAAACAGCTCTGATGAATGTAAGTAATGGTGGTGTGGATCTGTTGCCTGGAGAAAGACTTCTCGACCTTGAGTATGCGGACGATATTGTCTTACTGTGCGATAATGCCCAAGGCATGCAATCCGCACTTAATCAGTTGGCAATCAGTGTCCGTAGGTATGGTATGTGCTTTGTACTTCGAAGTGCAAAGTACTTCTACAAGACTGGAATGGAGGGTAGTTGTTGAGTAGCTGAAGGCCAGTTGAACTGTTCTCTGAAATGTTCCGCCCATCGTTCTAAACGTCTGGACTGGGAGCAGATGAGGGTGTCGTCTTTTTCCGAAATAATCTCACTTACACTTGACTTACTAATTCCAGTTTCTTTTATTAGTCTGTAAAGCTGTCTTGTGTTCCCTATAGTCGCCGCCTTTTCCATCTCTTTTGCTTTCATTGCCCACCACTGCTCACGGTCGTTTCTTAGACTTTTTCTTAACCTAGATCTGATTTGCTGTCGCTCTTTATCGTGTTCAGAACCTGATGGGACGAGTTTGCGAGAATCCATCAGTGCGATAGACCTTGAAGAAATCCACTGGTTCTTTGTAACTGTGGTTTAAGTCGCTAATAGATGTCACTGCTGCTTCCACAGCTGCTTGTATGTCTTTCCAAGCAACATCTGGGTCAGCCTCGTCTTCAGAACTACCTAAGTGTGAACTCAGTTGTTCTTGGAACCTATTTTTGGTTTTCTCGTTACTCAATTCAGTCCTAATGGATCCTTTTTGTGTGGCTTTTTTGCGTCCAGTGAGGCGCAAGCAGATGCGTGCCCGTATTAGGGCATGGTCGGAGTCCAAGCAGGTACTCCAGAATGAGCGACAATCTTCTACCGACCCTCTCCAACGATGACTGATGGCAATATAGTCTATTTGAGTCCATCGTTGGTTTGGTGTAGGGGGTCGCCATGTTAGACGATGTCTCTCCTTATGCTTAAAATTTGTGTTTGCTAAAAATAAACGATTGTCTGTGCACAGTTGCAGCAGACGGTCACCATTATCTGTTCGCTGTGCCGGAATGCTAAAATATCCACCTAAATGCCTTTCTGTTTGGTTTAAGCTACCTATCTGAGCATTAAAGTCACCTGCTACGAGTACTATGTCTGAGCGTTTAGCTTTCTGAAGAAGTTCAGAAAGCTTTCTGTAAAATTTATCTTTCACATCATCTGAGCTGCAGTCGGTGGGAGCGTAGGTAGAAACGACAAAAAGGCAACGACTTGTGTCCCTATCCTTCCGAGTCCTTACGGAGCCGTTCAGCCGAACAGCACATAGACGACTGTTGACGGGGATCCACTCTAGCAGTGCTTTTCCGCCCTCATGCTTAGTGCTATGCCTACACCTGCCAGTCCACGAGAGCTAGCCGTCGGGTCACCAAATGCACCGAGGGTGTATCTCGTTGGCTCTCCGTGTTGCCGAGATGAGGTCAAGTGAATGACCACACTAGGATCCTGTATGCGTGTTTCAGAGACAGCATACATCAATGGAAAGAGACTCTAGGGTTTTAGCCAAGGAAGCCTGTTGACCGATTTGTCATAGGGTGCGTACGTTGAAGGCTCCAATGTGTAGTTTGGAGCGAGTTTTCAGTAGACCTGGGACAGTGTTTTGAGCGCTAGAATCGTTGGCTATGATGACACTTGAGGAGGTAGCCGATAAAGGAAGTTTAGGGTTGAAAGTCGATGTAGGAGGAATAATAGGAATTGAAGAGGGAGGTTGATCATGAATACAGTGGTCTCGAGTGCTGTTAGAGGTATGAGGGCGGTTATCACTTCCCGGTTGCCCACACCGAGGAAGGGTTCTTCTGAAGGTACCTGAAAAGGAAATTGGATTAGTGGTGGTCTGAGTGACCTGAGAGAGTGACCGCAGTGCCCAAGGGACAACTGCTTGAGGCCGGATGCGCACGGCCTTTTGTGAGAGGTTCGTGACGTGTTAGCTCCGTTCTTCAAAGGGTCTTACCGCCGGAGACGGATATCCGTGGGATAAGGCGAGGTGTGCATTTTTAGGGTCGACCTTTTCTAACCCCATCCCTCCTTGTGGGAAGGCAGCATCGCTGTCATGCTGGTTGTCTGAAGGAAACACCTTACTGCTGTCACACCTCTGTACAGTCAGCAGTACGACTCCGCCCTCGGACCTTGGGTTTGTTGCTTTTAGTCTTACCGCTCATCAACCGACCTGTCTGACATGGTAGGACCTTGAGGAACGGTTGTTCCAGCCAGTATAGCTCGGTTGCTTCATCACGATAGGCAAGCCCGACCACCACGTCAAGATAGCAACAACGGTCGGGAGTGTATTGTACGGCCCTCTGGTTGGTTTTCGAATTTCAGTTTTGTAAAATCTATTTTCTTTAGTTTTATAATTAACTGATGGAAATGTTCCCATTTTATTCATTCTTCGATCAATAGTTTAGAGATGGTGTCTTACTTATCCTATTAATGGGTCTTATTGATGGCTATTTTGTACCATTTCATGCATATCATCCAACACCAACAACAGAAGAATTGTGTACATCAAATGTTAAACTAGCCTTCGAACTTATTCAAGCAGCTGGTATGGTTGAACCTCCAGCAAAACCTGAAGAAATTGTTGCAGGCGATAGCAGTGCTGTATTACGCGTGTTGTATGGCATCTACTCATATTGTGCACATATGGAGGATGAACAACGTCGGTATGAAATAAATAATATTCGGGAATAAGGTGAGATGGATGAATATTACAGTAATAACCAGAAACCTTCTGTACAACATGGTCTAATTAATTTATCGTGAAGTATATGTAACTGTGATATGTCTCTGATGTTTTCTGTGATGTTAACATTTTAAAAGTTACCGTAAAATAAAATGCGTTACCACTGGAGTGATTTACTTTTAATAAATAACAGATTATCGTTTGATGTTCTCTAGTTACTTTCTATTTAGAAACGATAAACAATAAAATGAATTTGTATGTAAGTACTCCATTATATTATTTTCCTCTCTCCTTTGCGAATCTACGCTCTGCAGCCTGACATTTTTTACACCAATAAACGTTCTGATGTCAGTTTTGTAGTTATCTATATTATTTTTTTGCGGTTAATTGTTTTACTTTCTTAAATATTGATGTTAGTGTGAATTTCTAGGTACGATAATAAAAGCAATCACTTTGAAAAGATTCATTTATGATTATGTTCCTTTTGGTTAACTGATAGTGTAGTTTACTATTTTTCTCCGCGCTATGTAGTTTTGTTTTATATTGTATAAGTTTTCTGCGCCCGTGGGTTTTATCTCACTGAATGTATTCATTACTACCAAATAGAATGGGGTTTTGTCTTTTTAGACGTTTATTTCTTGCTCTTATTACAACGTTTATGTTATATACCATTTCATTGGACAAATATCTGAAATAATCATGCCTACATGTATACAAACGGAACATCTTAAAGAGATCAACTTTAGACAACGGTCATCTGTTAACATCGAAAAAGATTTGTCTTATAAAGGAAAAATTGAAAGTTCAACATGAGAGTGATTTGGATTTCACAATAAGCATCCGTAAAATTAGTTTGTTCATTTACAAGTTCTATTCCCAATCTAGTTCATGATTCGAGTTACACTAAATATTTTATTCGCACATATCTTTACATGGGCTTCTGATTATTAATGCAACAGATGCCTATTTCATACTGGCTTGAAACCCCGTAAGACTGTGCAATGCATTCGCTTTTCGTGATGTAAATCAGGACAGTTTTGCGAGGAAATTATGACTGTTAAGCAACTATTTTACAATGTTTCGCACCTGAGTATACAAATCAGGAATCCAGAGATTACAACAACGGCCAGTAAGCAGCCAAACGAACGTACAACACAAAATAAGCGGTTAAAGCGAAAGCTACATAGTTAGGATATAAATGAGGCGAAAGTGAAACAACCAATGACAAGGCAGACTACACATAGTAAGAAGTAGTGTTATAATAATAACGATGACTCATCGTCGTAGTCAAATGCAACAAAGAACTTGACGCAAGTATGTCAGTCCAAGTTGTCATACCACATTAGCCCAGCGAGATAAAATTATCAAAACACATCCCATAGTCATAAAAGTAGTAACAGTATCAGTAGTAATGTAGTGTGTACTACAGATGTCGACAGATATAAGTCGTATGTATCAACAATCGAAAGTGAAATACCTGGAGGCAGAAAGTTGAGATTAAAGAAAAGAAAACGAGAACAAACAATGATTGGTATGGAAACGAAAGAACAATGAAGTCTGAGACGATAGACTGATATTTGCAAAAGGAACAGTCATTAGTTGACATTATTTAAATTATATATTTACACTATGGTTCTAAGTTGTTCTGTAAGTTGGTGTTCAGATACATTCGATTATCCTCAATTGTGTTCTCGTTCATTACAATAGTAACTCCTATCAATATAAAGATATATATCAGTTAAAGGTGAAAGATTGAATGACAATGAGGTAGAAGATAAAACTTGTAAATACACCTTATGCACACACAAAATTAGGTTGAATAGGTAAAGAAGATTAAACAAATAATGTATTTGAGATTTAGAGAAAGTAACTCACTGATTGATTCTGAGTCATATCTCTTAAATCATTTATCCCTCACATATCATACTGTATGAGTACATATATCGACTTAGCTTGGAATAGTTAATGAAGAGAGATCTAATTTATTTTTAAGAGGATTATGTACATATAGAGCAAGAATAAACAATTGAACAGGATATACATGAACTCATTTCATTTGATTCTCATAAACTACTTACAACTTGTAATACAAATATATATATAATCGAATAGTAAAAAAACATTAACATGAATAAGTAGAAAAATAAGACTAGTTTTTTTTCATCTGTTCATCGTAACACAAAATAATTCTGTTTGACGTTTATATTCAGTTAGTGAACGCTGTTGACTAACTAAGAATTGGATAACAGATGGAGATCTAAGAAGAGCTGACTTTTTAGCATCTAATACAGCATGAATCAATTTGCGATAGTTTGGTGATCCAGATTCTGGTCCTATAGAACCAGCTGAACTTGAAGATGATAAAGGACCAGAATTTGTTGAAGACTATAAAACAAAAATAAAAACATCAAACAAAATTATTTAAATCTTTTACTATAACCATATCTTTCATCTCATTACAATAATCATATGTCATATTTGATTAGCCGGAAAATATTATGACACTCCATGCGTAACAATTAACTTTTCTATCAAACTGAGATAATAGCACAACTTCCATTGCAAAAGTTGTGATTTCTGTCAGGTTGAATACCTGTAGTGTTCGAACTTCATCCACGCTAATAACGTAAAAAAACTACTCAGTAAGTTAAGTCGCTGTCTTACCTTTTTTACACCTTAAATTGTGGTCTAGCAGGGATTTCGTGCACGATTATAAGGATATAGGTAACATAAAATTCAACCAACCCAGTAGATGAAGTTCGGAAACCCTATTAGAATTGTATGCTTAACTTTGAAACTACTTCAGTGGTTCCAACATGCGCGGGTAGTGATTTCACGATCATTTCGACCAGATTCTTGTAATGCAAACATAGTTTACCTTCCAAGAAAACACCCTACACTAGTAATGTAGTACAGATCAAAACACTGAGCAGCACACCTGTTTTTTTTACAAGCACTTGTGGGAAAGATAAATCAACTTGATGAGAATGAAATCGATAACAAGATTTCATAGCCTATGAAATAACCAAAGTTGCACAGACTTCTAACACAAGTGACGAAAACTACACACACACACTCAACTTTACTGGCAACTGTCGACCTAACCATTGAGATAAACAAGTTGCAAGCGAGTATTCCGAGTTTAGATGTATAAGATATCCCCCAGATATTTTCGGATTACCATGTAGACCGTACGGAAGAATTAAATTTCTGTTTAACATGACTATATTATCTGCATGATATCGGTTTTCGAGTAGTGTACCCACAACAAACGTCAATGAAGTTGGGAACGCTACAGAATTTTTAAAACATTCTGAAAGAGTTGTCAAAATATATGGACTATACTATTGTGTCGTTAAAAAGACTGAGTGTGGTAAATAAACACTTCCACTGAATCTGAATACAGTACATTTTTAATATAAAATGAATATTTAATTATGAAAAAAGTATTACGATAGTTGTGGTTATAGTTTTGATGAATCTTTTTGTTTAAAAATTAGGGGAAATGCTAAAAGAATTTATGTTGCTTGATAGAAGGAGATTGGTGAAGATTACGGATTGTTTCTCATCATAATATAATATTTAGTAAACCAGATAACACTACATCAATCATGATGAGAACTTGATTTGCAGAGGAGTTGAGATGTAAGAGTGAGGTGTATTTCTGAAGAGTACTGATATGATATGGAAGGTCTTAATTCGTTGTAGAGTTAAAGACCTTCAAAGTTGATTTACTCTAATTGCCTATAGTATTGAATTATACTTATTTTTCTGGCAATACTTTGTACATCAACGTGTTATTTTATTAAAAATATCTCTTCTAGTGGGCAGTTGTCTTGGTTTCTGATATCAGCTTATTGAAGAGCTACATCAATATTTCGGTCACAGGAGCATCTATCACCTGGGTACATTTCATTTACCATTCAGGATTTTACCTGTGCACCACTCAAAATGAATTACTGAAACATAACAAGTAAAAGTCACCGTATTATTCTCGTGAACACAATCACCACATATGTTTATGAATAACAGTTTTAAAACAATTAATCCTTTTGATAAATTTCGATAATGCAATGAGAGGATAAACTTCGTCTTCTCATTGTATTATCGAAATAATAATTTTAATAGGGATCCAAAAATGAAAATGGGGTTGCTTAGTATTATAGGAAACTTTCGAAACAACAAAATGACTGAACTGACGCGCAACCCAGGACAGCAAGGCAACACTTTATATCAACGAAATTCGAAAGTGTGAAGTAAGCATAAAAGTAATTATAAGGACATAGAACATTATGGTGCAAGAAAGCGCTATTAATGAGAAATTATTAATGTGGAGCAAAAATAAAATACTTGCATTTGCGATGGGACCATCGGACATAAGCTTCTCAGTGCGGGCTTTAACAAGTTCATTAAATTCTTGGCGTTTGCGATTTGCCATCTCATCAGACGAAATCGATTTCCTGCCACGGACGCCTGACGATTTTGTATGTGTTTTTATACTACTAGTGGAAGTTTTGGAATTCCTAGTTGAGGCAGCAACTCGTTGTAACTTTGAACCATTTTCAGACTCCGCTGTACTAGTTGATAAACATGAAGGGAATTCTACTCCAGTGCTGGATAAAGGAATGGAGGTAGTGGGATTCGGAAATGAAAAATCCTGAGGAATATTCATGCCTCCCAAATTATTGAAAGTATGGGATCCAGGATAAAATCCAGACTGTTGTAATGCGAAGCTGGCATAATAAGCTCTGCTTGTGTCTGCAGAAGAGAAATATGGATTCGAACCATTGGGATTAGCAGTCAGGTTGAGTGGACGACTTATCTGTAAATAAGAAAGAACGAATTGTGTAATACAAACGATTTAGCTCGTCAATCAGATGGATGGTTTTCACAACAGCTGATATTAATCGCAAAACATATTATTTCAGATTAGAGGTAAGAATTAAATGTGATTAGAATTTAAAGCTCTATAAATCTAGTAAATGAGGGTAGAACCGAAAGCATAACTTGATTACTTGGTTATTTAAACTACACAAATTCAAAAGCAAACCGATGGCACTATATATATGTATGATAATGTTGATCGTCTCAGAATCCCTTCTAGGTCTATAAGAGAATATGGTTAAGACATCATCCTTAAACCGAGACAGTATGACATTACCCTGGACATGAAAATTGCTGTAGCTAGCTTTAAATCACTTAAATATACCATTCCAATAAAGTCAACTGACTAACTTACACCTGTTACTGTTCGTAAAATAGCAAAGACCACCCATCAGGATTCTCAATCCAGCTCTGTCCTGGGCAATTCCAAGTTAGCGCTTGCATCGTGATGCAGTTTAATGAATTCCGCAATGTATGTCATATCCACCCCCCACCTTTCTCCATTTTCGTTTCTCTCACCCAGTCCATGTCGTCCCATGATATCTTTATATCCGGTGTTGTCTATTCAACTTTGACATTTAGATCTCCCATCAGAATGGTGAGGTCCTCTCTTGGGCACTTCGCTATGATTGATTGCAGATTTTCATGGAACTGATCTTTATTGTCGTCGTTGCAATAATTGGTGGGTGCATAACATTGGATAGCATTCATTGTAATTCCCTCCTTTTTTGTTTTGAATGATGCTTTGATGATTCCGGATCCGTGAGATTCCCATTCTACAAGTGCATTTCGTGCTACTTTGGACAGCATTAGAGCGACTCCCTGAGTGTGTGGAGCATTTTCTTCTTCGTGGCCGGAGTATAGCAGCATCTCTCCCGTATTTAGCCTTTGTTGTCCAGCTTGGGTCCAGTACTGAGATCAGACGGTGGTTGGAGGTAGTCGACAGGAAACCCTGGACCCGGGTTTCGTGCTACTTGGCACTCGTCAGCAAGGTGTACCTGTAATCTTGAGGGAACTGGTGCTCCCTGGCGGATTCGATCTCGTGTCGCCCAGCTTCACAGTCAGGGACGTTACCACTGAGCTATCCGAGCCGCAACATGATCGATAGCATTCGATTTGCACTAATAAGGACTAGACAAGCATGACATTGATCACCACCCGGTGATCAATCAATTGTGATTGGGTCCAGTACGTTTCGCTGATTCCCAGTACTGCCAAATTGTATCTCCTCATTTCCGTTGCAATTTGACTGGTCTTCCCGGTCTCCCACATTGTTCGGACGCTCCATGTACCTATAAAAATTGTTGCTCTGGTTGTTAGAAGGGGCATCTGCCTCGTGACTTCCGAAGGAACTCGGCCTTCACTATGAGGCCTCATAACTCTTCTAAATGAAGACCTCCTAACTCCCAGGGCAGAGGATAAATGGTTTGAATTATTTTTCCGGTTAGCGTTTTTTAGTGAGTTCGTTTTCTACGGGATGGGGTCGCTAACCTCATGCCCAATCCAAATGGTCTAACATATGTGTGCGTTAGCACAATCTTTCATTACCAAATCAACAATACGAGACGAAACTAACATGAATAATAAGAGTCGAAGTAATACCGATGTGAATGATAATGAGAAAAACTAACATTGTACAGAATAGCTTAAAAAGGTATGAATTCCAACAATAACAAGCACGAAATAATATTTACGGTCAAAATGTATGAATGGATGCATCTGCACCAAAACGACCGATTCTGAGTCATTTCAACCATCGTATCTAGTCACTGATCGCGGTTATCACGTGGAAACAGCTCAGTCCATCAGTTAATGACGATATGTAATATGTTCGGCAATCACCAGTTGTCCTTAAACATATACCTGCTCCACCCAATGTTCCTCAACGAAGTGAGCGACAGTTAGTCAAATATCTCAGACATATTAGTCGGTTAAGACATATAATTTCACCAAAAGTCTTATCATCTGCTTAACTTTCAAATTACCCAATTAGTTGTTTTACAGTACAGGATTAGTGCTTTGAAGACACCTATGATCAAAGACATGCGTCCTACAGATGGCTCCTACTTTTATGAACTATGTTTGCCATTAAGTAATGCAAAGCAAACTGTTACGCAGTATAGTCACCTTTTAATAGCCAGACGAAAAAAGCGCTCATATCACAAAAAAACGTAAATTGGTAATAACTAATTGATCTTTCTGAATTCGAGAAATTTTACAAGCCAGTCAATTCACTCCCTAAAGGCAGTCTACGTGTTGAAAGACCAGCCTTAAGGAAAGCTGCTACACTTAGGCATAACTTCTTGTTGTTTTTAGCTAGGGTGTCATTTGTAACGCGTAGTTTTCATTTGTGGAGCACACTTTACAGATAACCTGTTACTGATTAGTGTCGATCTATTATGATGTAATTACAGTAGCTTTGTTATGTCAGATACTGCATATTGTAGAAATCACCATATACAAACCAAGTTACACGAATTCAAGTGCACACATTTTCGTATTGAAGTCCTGCTCTACGATTTCGTTGCATCATCCTAGTGACCACCAATCCCTAGCCTTCTTAGATGACTTCAGAAACAACAATACCCTATAATTTCCTCATTAATCAAACCGGAATACAACAATTTATAAAGGTTATACTTACAACACCTGGATTGAACTGTTGTGTGTACCCAGCCGCTGCAGCTGCAGCAGCAACAGCTGCTACAGCTGCAGGATGGAATAATGGAGGATAATTCGTAGGATTTTGACTGTTTTGATGATGATATGAACTGTTAATCTGATTGGTATTGGTCAGGTAACTACCACTAAAACTTGCTGATGGCAGTGACTGATGTAAGTTACGAGATTCTTCTAGAGTCATTCAAGAATCTAAAACGAGAGACGAAAAGTGAGCATATATTTATTGATAGTTATGAAGTCGCATGTTTATTTTAAGAAGTAATTCTTCAATGACATTTAGGAAGGGTCAATAAGCTTTTAATATACTCTGAAACAATACTAACAATCTACGGATGTAATGCACGGAGACCATGGGCTCCTTTAAGAGGGAAAAGGGTAATCTGAAGCGAGGATTGTGAAAATTACCGATACAATAATGAGCCTATTTAGATCATAGCAATTCCAGAATATATATATATATATATATATATATATATATATATATATATATATATATATATATATATATATATAAACAATATTATACAGTATTAACTTCAAAACTTGAATCTATATGTCCTTTACTACAATATAGATTATGCGACATTATCACCTGTTAGACTATACAGATCCACGTATTCTAATCAGATATATATAATACTTCTCATTGAATATTTTCTTAGACAAAAGATTACTTATGAATTAAGAATAAATAACCTTACATAGTTGCTTTCAAATTAATCCTTATCCCTTCTTTTTGGTGAACAATTACGTCCAAACGTACATCATAATTTTGTTATGTCGACGTAATATTACAGTTAAACGGTTGTGTAGGTGTATTTACGAGAAATGGAAATAAAATTGAAACGGATGACGGGATAATATACACCTAGTAAATCTATCAAATTAAAAATAATTACTTGTAATAGTTCTCGTAGTGTCTGTCATTTCCGCTTAGCTTTCATAGGTTAGTAGATTTATAACTGTCTGGTTCAAAAAAACACGCAACGTCCTCACTTTCTAAAGGACAGAGGCAGGTAGAACAACTTCATATAAAGCACAGTCCGCTAAGCTTTCTAATAACGCAAAAATACACCCAGTCGTATCTGAATTGTCCGTTACGATGATTAGAGTTATTGCGCAGTAATTTACTCTGTATTAATTTTAAGGTTTGATATACAACTCTTCAAACAAAAACACCACGTACCTTACCGATTTTCGACCACATGTGTTTCAAAGAATTATTTACGTTTGTTGGGACCCCTAGTGGAGTATTATTTTATTTTAACACATAGATAATGGTACGATGAGACACCAAATACATGCGCCACACAAATCTCATTTGATATGTGTGAGGGCTGTGATACTGCCCGGGTGCCCAAACCGAAGCAGACTAGTGGAGTATTAATGGTTTTAGACAAAGAGCCAGAGTTAAAGGTAGCAAATCGACTGATGTTGCCCCCAAATGCCCTGGTATGGCCGAGAATGGGGAGAGTCCACTTTCCCTCTCCAAATGCTATCACATGGCCACGTGTATACAGCCTCTGCCAGGGAAGTCCTACTTACTGCCTTCTCGTGGCGAGGGTGTTGTTTACGAAAGTGAGAGGACGAAAAGCGAATGTCCGGCGCTTTAACTGGATCTCAAACCAATGGTGCACATGGGCTCCAGTATCCTGCGGGAACAAATGGCGTATGAACCAATTTTTGGCTACCGGCTATCATGGGACTGCATCTCCTCACGATGCTCCACTGCCTTGTGCGTCAGATCTTTAGGTCAAAGGCTCGGGATGTGGCCCCTAAGAGAACCACCTGCTTCGGTCTGGGCACTCGGGCAGTATCATAGCCCACACAAATATAATGATAATTAAAATGTGTGACGCATACATATTTGGTGCCCTCTTGTAACAATATTTATGTGTTCAAATAAAATATAAAATAAAATCGACTGATGTAATATCAAACTTTCAATATCTCGACCATTTAAGACATCTGATTCACATTTACAGGTAGCCCCTACCACTACGTGTTATTCTAGTTGTTATAACAGGAAACACAAAACCCAAGCTGTCAAACTAAGATGAACCATCAATCCGTGGAGCCACAACTTCTAGAGTGGGCTGTGAGAAAGTGAAGATTTTCGGGTTAGAGTAGATGTACTGAATATTTGCTTACCCACATCGGCTACAGAGCGAAAGGTAAACAAGAGCAAGTGGATTAAAGACATACATTCAACATTGGAAGAGTAGTTAAGTCTTCAACTTTCCTAATCCCTGAACTTGTTCATCTTCCCAGGGTTACTTAAAAGATGTGGTGTTTTCCTACAAAACCTCACTAATTGTCTATTAATATCCAAGAAAATTTATAACATTATTAAGATGTATGACTGATTAGATTGGGCTTCAAAATAATGTGTACAGAAACTTCGATTGGCATCACTGTGGACAACATAAGTACTGTAATCCGAAACCCTAACAGGGAAATTTAGGAGAAAAGATAGGTGAGCCGGAACTTACATCTAGTACTGAATGTGACCCACAACAAATGGCCACAGCACAAGGGTAGTCAAGACAGTCGGAAACCGAAACTGGAAGTCAACAGGATAAGACTTTGAATCCGTTACAGTACTGTGGCAAATCACGTCTGGCCAGAAGGTACTTTGTGTACTACTGGTGCATGCAAATTATTCCTGCCTCACTAACTTATTAGAGGCTCATGAAAGTTGGTGCAGTCTTAAAGACCAAAAGTTACCTATAGACATAGCCTACATTAACTTCAGCAAAGCTTTTGACAAAGTTCCTCACAACCTGCTGTTATATAAGTTAAGAAATGTGGGGGTTGGAGGCAACCTATTAATGCGGATAAAATACTTCCTAGTTAGCCATCAAAAAAGAGTACGGCTGAAATTGGAGTTGTCTTGCTGAGAAATGTGCTTAACGGAGTGCCTCAGGGTACAGTTTTGGGACGAATATTATTCCTCTCGTATCCTCCTCCAGTATCCTATCATCACCGGTTTTGCTATATGCTGACGATGTCAAGATATGGAGAGCGATAAAAAGTAAAGGTGAAACCTTAAAGCTTCAGAATGACCTGAAGAAATTATCCGTACGGTCTCAAATTTGGCAGTTGCCGACAAATACTTCTAAGTGTATCGTGACGCATATTGGTCATTAAGGTACAGATACATGCATGATGAATAACATTGAGCTACCTGTTATCCAGACACAAAATAACTTACGAGTCATCGTCAGCCAAGACTTAAAAACTACTGCACACTGCCGTGCAATAGCCGCCGAAGGTTCTACAACCTTATGGGATCAGTACGTAGGGCCTTTAACCATATCGACAATGAAACTTTCCTGACTTTGTACACAGTATTCGTGTGGCTAGCCCCTGTTTAAAAAAAGACATTGAGCTTTTGGAAAAGGTTCAGAGAACAGTAACTAAGCTGATTCCCGGAATAGCGAAGCTTCCGTATCATTTTCGACTGGCTAAACTAGACCTATTCCCATCGTCATATCGAAGGACCAGAGGTGACTTGATTACAATCTTCAAATTACTTAAAGAGAAATTCGGATCTGATATAGCCCTAATTTTTCTTGACTTCCAAAATACAGAGTTTACGAGGACACTCCAAAAAAGTTCACAAGCCCAGAATAAATTACTTGACCATCGACTTTCCCATTGAATTATCAACGAGTGGAATTCATTACCTCAACACGTGGTTGAAGCTTCATCTGTCGACACTTTCAAAAGAAAGTTGAACCAACTGAGACCACTACCAGGACTAACACAGGCCATCTAGCCTACTGTCCTTTCCAAACTGAAACTGAATGAGGAAGGCTGTAAAAGAGAACAAAAGAAAGAAGCATAGACTTATTTCAGTCACTTATATAATTGGGTCACTCATCCATATATACCCTGGACAGTCCCAAATACGAAGCACGACAATACTTGGATAGGCCAGGATATTCGACATTTACTAACACGAAAGAAATGTCAGAACGTTGCCATCAGCCTTGACACAGTAAGTACTATGGGACAAAATAAGTTTATAACTAAAGTCCACGATGCTCAGTGGAAATACAAGGTTGGCGCAATCTGTAATCAAGCAGTCTAAGAGACTATTTTCATGCACAAATCACAGAACAAGGATGCAGCATTGGATTCCCAACCCAATTAAGGAAGCGGGTCTAATATCATAGAGGATGATCAGGAAAAAGCAGAGGCTATGGTAAACTATTTCGGGGCAGTTGTCACTCAGAGCCTCTTCTAGGCGAATAAATAGACCCAAATACAAAGTCAACAAACTGCCTGCTCACCGTGGACTTTGATCAAGACGAAGTACTTAAAGCGCTCAGCACTTTAGACACGGAAAAATCAACAGGACCGGATGAACTATATATCAAAGTCCTGAGACTAATTGCATAATATATTGCACCTCCATTGACTATAATATACAATATTGTCACCTGACCAAGCTGAGTTACCCACGGACTGGAAGGAAGCAATTGTCACCCCGATACATAAAACAGGATCAAGACAACTTCCATCAAATTACAGACCTTCCAGCTTCACCAATGTCGTGGTTCAAATACTGGAAAGATTATCGAAAAGGCCATAATGATATTCATGGAAACCAACAATTTGGTAAACAGTGAACAACATGGTTAACCTTGTACAACGAAGAAGAGAACAATACATAGACACCCTGAAAAATGGTAAACTAGATGTTGTTTACATAAACTTCAGCACAGCATTTGATAGGGTACCAACAAATAAACTACTATCAAAGCTGGAAAATATAGTCATTGCCCGACGTCTTCTTAAATAGATCAATGATTTCCTGGCAGGTCGTAGACAGAGAGTAAGAACAAATTCCAAGTACTCCACCTGGAAACCAGTACTTAGTGGGGTACCGCAAGGTTCTGTTCTAGGTCCTATATTTTTTATATAGTATATAAATGAACTCTCAAGTATGGTTGAGTCCCCAATGCTACTTACTATACACTGCTGGTGTAAATATCTGGCGAGAAATAACAGATGCATGTGCACTTCAGACAGACTTTCATATTCTGATTAGCTGGTCTAAAAAGTTGCTCATGTCTATCAACACTGCCAAGTGTGTCTACATGCACAAATAGGTACAGCAGAAGGGAAGTGCCCGTATCCGTGATATGGTCTCACAAATATCTTGGGGTGACAGTGAGTCGTGATCTTAAGACCACGGCCAACTGCCGAGAGGTTTCAGTTAAGAAGTTTAGAATCCTCTGGGCTCTAAAACGGACACTCACCAAGTTAGATACTGCCATGTTCACCACAGTATACACAATCTTAGTGAGAATTAAGCTTGAGAACTGAGTTCAGGCTGCAAGCCCCTGTCTGAGGTGACTCAGATATCCTGGAAAGCGTACGGAGAGCAGCTACCTATGCAATTCCAGAACTCCAGGGTTTATCGTACAAAGAGTGGCTTGAAAATCTAGACCTCTTTACTCTGTCTTACAAAAGATTGAGGGGTTGTCTTATTTTGATGTATAGAATGCTAAACAAATCTGGACCAAATATATATTTTCTTCTCTACCGACTAGATCGGGAAATCACAGAGTACATAGCAGGCGAGTAGAAATGCCAAGGACGAACAAAATACCCATGGCATATGTTTTCATACCGAGTCATCAATACTTGGAACATGCTACCCGAAGTGGCAGTGTCCGCATCTTCAATTGGCTCATTCAAGAGAAGACTAGACGCTCACAGAAGCATACTAGTAAAGGAATAATATAGACAGTAGGTCTTCTATCCTTACTACACAAATCTGAATCCGAAATCTGAAAATGGATCGACCACACAGCATGTACACACAATGTACTCACATTTATTACGAGAAAAAAAAACAATTGCCGAAATCGACAGCTTTCGATCAAGATAATTTTGAGAACGTAACCCGCAGCAGGTAGCATAAAACCCACTTCGATCCCTAGGCCAGCGCGGAACTTTGAACTTAGCCCCTTAAGTATGTCTTTTCAGTAACTGCCCTTTAAGGTCAAATTTGCTCAATATCCAATATCTTTTTGGCGACCTAATATAGACCGACCAATTTTTTATAACTCACTTCTTGATGTAAAAGTACGGTTCTGGGTGCTCGATATAATCTTCGGTGTCCGTTTTTGACTCCATTATGATCAGACGACAATGGTGTTAATAAAATATATATATCCTACATAACTGCCTGTCTTTTGCCGATTAACAATTGTTAATCGGCAAAAGACAGGCGTAATAATCTATTTGGTGAATATGTGTTTAAGATGAATAATATGTGAATATGCATGTAAGAACTTTCGTCTAAATTTGAACGGATAGTTCCATAATATTTGGGCCCCGAGTCAATGTAAGACATTAAAGGGGAAAAATGTAGTTGTAAAATCTCAGCGAAAGAATTTGGAGTAAATCCAACGTTTCGCCTGGCAATCTGGTCCAAGCTTTTTCAAGGAAAATTTAGTCAATATGATCAATAATTATTTCGCTGAGATTTTACAAAACATTCTTCCTCCATGACGACTATAGTTTGGATGACAGAGATACTTGGGGTGAGAACGGCTAAAAAAATATTGAAAACTATCAGTGAACAATGAACAAATATGTAGCAGTAAACAAACCCCAGTAGAGGTAAATAAGTCCTCCAAATAAAGTTCCATAAGTTTTCTGCACTAATGCTGACCTTGAAGATGCCACAGGTATTTTGAATTTGACAACTCTTTAACCAGTAACACCTTCTAGTATAAGTGAAACCAGAAGACAGAAGCGAGAACGTACAAGGATATATTTGACAGGCTATCAGTATATCGAGGACCGACTGGTCTAGACTGGATAGCTAGGGTATGTTGAACATTGCGCTCCGACTAGTGACCTTGTGTGGATACAGATCACTTCCCCCCTAGTGGGGAAGCTACGACCCTAGAACGTGGCCAGCCAGAAGCTTAAACCAAGCGAGTTTGTCGTTGGTAAACACTCTTCTGATAGCGTGCCATGTTTAGCAGCGTCTGGTCATCTTTCCTTACTATAAGGGACCATGTAGTACAAAATATTATTAAATAAAAAGAGCACAATGAAAATTTAGATTGATTGTTCTTTTCTGGCTTTTCTAGCCATTCTGGAAAGGAGAAAAGGATATGTAAGTGCATGTTGAAGTACACTTGAACGTGCGTAGAAATAAAATGGGCAAAAGAAGGATAATAAACTCATGCACATGCGACAGCGTAAAAATAGATATTTACTGGATCATTTTTTGTTGTTTTTTAAAAGACGTTTTTTAATATACATATGAAGGCGAGTATATTAGTAAAAATGTTGTTTCTTTCGGAATAAATAAATATAGGCATATCAAACCTGATTTTTTATATTATATATAATACAAAGAAAAACTGAGATGGAACAAAATGTTAACTAATGTCTTACGTGCAGTAATCGTTCGAATGCTATGAAAAACTTTATTTCTCCCAGAACCCGTTGTTTTTTGTCTGTTTTCAGATACTCCCAAAGTATCATCGTGAGTGTTGGTTATCGGATGGGGTATCGTAAGCACAGGAGTTGCGTTCTCGATTGTGTTGATTTGGCTTTCCGAGAACTTCAACGGAGCCTCCAGAGGTCCAAAAGGAGCAGAAGAGTCCCAGCCAATCAGACCACGGTGGAGCATTCTAGAATTCCAACGTGGCGTGCTACTATTGGTCAGTAGCATAATATGTCGTTAACGGATTGGCCGAAATATGATGTTGACTTAACAGACGCTAACATCTATAAATACCCATGTTTTCTGTACAAAAACGAACCTTGGAACAAAGTATTTCTCTCATACTTTGCGTCTTCTTTCTGGCGTTCAGGTCGCTGTGTAGTTCTAGTATGCGGGTTTCCAGAATAGCTTAGGAAACGAATATAACGTTCAATTCGCAAGACTTATCAGTGGCGACGGGAAAAACTACAATGAATATTTCTTTGGAGCAGCTAAAAGCTTATACTGAGCGTCAAGAAAAGAGGTTTGAAGAGTCTCAAATCAGAATCGTGGAAGCCCTGATGCAAAAATTCTGCCTGTCCCAGCAAAACCCTGTTTTTGGCGAATCACAAGTATCTCACACTGATCCAGTCATTAACGCCATCCATGAACTTAATTTTTGATGGTGTAGCAGGTGTAACTTTTGAGTCTTGGTTTAAAAAGTATGAAGATTTGTTCTATATTGATCTTTGCAAACTGGATGACGCATCAAAAGTCAGAATACTTCTGAGAAAACTTGGAACAATGGAACATGAATGCAACAGCAACTTCATTCTTCCGAAGAATCCACGAGACTTTATTTTTGATGAACGGTTAAAACCCTGGCTCAAATCTTTGGAGAATTATCATCTATTTAATATCCGTTACCAGTGCTTATAGTTTACGAAAGAATCAGGAGATGACTGAGTGCAACATGCAGGAATCGTGAACCGAGAGCGTGAGTGGTTCAAATTGTCTTCCATATCTGAAGACCAGTTTAAATGCTAGTATTTATCCGTAGCCTTCGTTCGCCCGAGGATGCTGATATCCGAACCAGAATCCTAAGCAAACTCGAACACTGCCCTAACATGACCCTGCAGGAAGTGACTACCGAGTGCCAAAAATCAGCGAACTTGAAGCATGATACCTCAATGGTAGAGAACAGTACCTGTTTCGCTAGCGTCAATGCAGTCAAGAGAAAAGTCTCTCACTGTTCCAGCACGCATAATTATCGTAATAACAGCGCCGAGCCATCATCTTCATGCTGGGAATGTGGAGGTTGACACTATAAGAGGTTCTGCCCATGTAAAGAACATGGTTGTAGCAAATGTCATCGGAAGGGGCATAAAGAAAACCTCTGCAAGAGAAGAAACTATAAACGACATTCCTTGAAACCTTACGCAAAGAAATACAGGTATGGTGCTCTAACTAACAAAGTATTGGTATCACATAATCGGGCACAAATTTATCGCCAAAGAAAGTATGTAAACTTAGATATAAATAAAAAGCGCACCCGACTGCAGCCCGACGCCGCTCCCGACGTCACACTTATTAGTCGAAGAACCTGGAAGCTTATCGAAAAACCACAGGTGCTCTCAACAACCCAGTTAGCTCATAGTGCATCTGGAGGGAAGCTAAATATTGTTGGAGAGGTCTGCTGTACAGTTTCGAAAGGAAAAACGAAGACCAGTGCAACTTTATATCTCAGAGAGAACCCAGGACTAGATTTATTGAGTCTAGACTTAATAGGAACACTGCAATTAGCAAATCACCCTATTAGCCACATATGCAGCGCAGTGAGAATCAATAAACCAGCGGAAAAGGATCTGAAGGGGGTTGTATTAGAAAGATATAGTCAAGTGTTTAAAAATGGATTGGGGGAATGCACGGAGACCAAAGCATCGTCAGCTTTAAAGCCTGCAGCCACTCCCGTTTTTCGACCTAGAAGACCCGTACCATATGCTGCTCTCCCAGTGGTTGAACAAGAGGTAGAACGACTTCAGAAACTAGTTGTCACCGAACCAGTGAATTTCTCAGAATGGGCCGCACCGATAGTAGTAGTAAAGAAGACTAATGGTAGCGTTCGTTTATGTGCCGATTACTCAACTGGGTTAAATGAAGCCTTAGAAACTCGTCAGTATCCACTACCCTTACCTGATGATCTTTTTGCTAAACTGAACGGAGGTAAGCTTTTTGCAAAGTTGGATTTATCCGAAGCTTATTTACAAATCCCTGTTGCTGACGTCTCTAAAACCCTGCTCACCATAAACACACACGACGGTCTATTCCGGTATAATCGACTACCCTTCGGAGTCAAGACGGCCCCATCCATATTTCAGCAAATGATGGATACTATGCTACAGGATGTTACAGGTGCTGCAGCCTATCTTGATGATATAATAATTATGGGAGTAGATAAAATAGATTTAGAAAAGAAGCTCGACCAGGTGCTGGTGCGAATAGCTGAATATGGACTTCGACTTCGTCCAGAGAAATGTGACTTCTGTATGCAAAAAGTACGCTATCTTGGGTTTATAATTGACAAAAATGGCAGAAGACCAGATCCGGAGAAAACCCAGGCAGTGAAAACTATGCTCAGATCGACGGAGGTCCCCACACTACGATCTTTTTCGGGACTAGTTAGTCATTATGGAGCATTTATTCCGAACCTTCATCAATTGCGTGCCCCCTTAAATAACCTTCTGTCGAAGAATATAAAATGGAATTGGTCTGCAACTCGCCAAGCTGCTTTCGATGAAATCAAGAAAGTACTAGTCTCGGATCTGCTGCTCACCCATTGCGATTCATCTTTACCCATTGTAGTAGCAGCAAACGCTTCAAAATACGGCATTCGAGCAATTATTTCTCACATCATGCCAGATGGATCTGAGAAGGCGATATCACATGCAGCCAGATCGTTAACGTCAGCAGAACGTAACTATAGTCAGATCGAGAAGGAAGCATTGTCGATTATCTTCGCTGTAAAGAAATTTCACGAGATGATATCTAGGCGTCAGTTCACACTATTAACTGACCATAAACCATTACTAATCATTTTTGGGTCAAAGAAAGGAATCCCTGTTCATACAGCTAATCGACTCCAACGATGGACAACCATACTTCTGGGTTACGACTTCAAGATCAAGTATCAGTCTACTACCGCCTTCGGGCAAGCTGATGCATTGTCAAGATTAATAGGCTCCCAATCAAAAACGCCAGGGGGGACTCTTGTAGCAAATATAAAAGCTGAGAAAGAAGTTCATCGCGTATTGAATGATGCAATCAATGGACTCTCAGTAATCTTTGCTTTGAAACTGTCAAGAAGATCACTGAAAGTGATAAGACATTGAGCACAGTTAAATGCTATCTCTCGACAAAATGGCCAAACAGTCGCCTTGACGGAGAACGTTTACAATATTTTCGTCGACGGGACTCACTAATGGTTGTTGACTCGTGTATTATGTTCGGTGATCGAATTGTTATTCCGAAGCTT